CCTCACAGTCTCTCTCTCTCTCTCTCTCTCTCTCCCTCTCCCTCCCCCTTTCTCTCTCTCTGTGTCTCTCTCCCTTCCTGTCTCCCTTTATCTCTCCCTCCTAACCCCTCCTGTCTCTTGCCCTCTTCATCTGCCCCCTTCCCCCCTCCGCCGTATCATCGTGCCTCTATTGACGCTCAAGATCGTGACGTTGTGCCCCTCTGTACGTACGTGCCCCGACGTCGTGGCCCCCCAGAGGGGCCCCAGAGGGGCTGCGACACGCGTTAGTTAAGCTGCTTGTTCGCGTAATTAAATCAAAACTAAGTCTCGGATGACGCTGGCCGGCGTGGGAGGTCCCCCCGCCCCGCCTAGCTGCTGGAGCGTCTTTGTGTCTTCGCATCTATCCATCCGTCTATCTATCTATCTATCTATCTATCTATCTATCTATCTATCTATCGCCTCGTCACCGTCGCTAAATTCCTGGTCCCGCTTGTAAAAGTTTGCTCCAGCCTCGGCTGCGATGAGGTCGTGATGGTTTTACTTTACTCAAGTTTTAGAGGGCCTCCTCTCTTCTGTATCTATACAGAGAGAGAGAGAGAGAGAGAGAGAGAGAGAGAGAGAGAGAGAGAGAGAGAATAGAATAGAACGCCGTAAACAACGTGCTCATGCTCTTTTTGACGAATCACATCTCGTTGGTGTTTCCTTTTTTTTCACCAACTGCGCCGCCGTGCGTGTATGTCGCGCGCACAACTTTTTTCCGGACCGGTCCATCCAGCTCTTCATGTTCAAGGGACTATGGCTGTGCTGCTGGGGAGGGTATGGGGATGCGGGGTGCGAGCAAAATGCAGTCCGTAAAAGTTTCTGCAAGTCTGCGCACGCTGATAACAAAAAAGGAAAAAGGAAAGGAGTTCTCCCAAGGCTTTCATGTGCATGGACAGGTGTACAAGAGCAAGGGAGGAAGCGGAACCAAACTGAGAGACGCGAGTTTTGCTGTCAGTAAATTGGCGCTTACTACCAACAACTGTTGCACGGCGGAATCAATCTCCCCCCCCCCCCCTTTTAAGTAACTGGTCGCTGAAATGTGCGCACGACGCCCTAAGGGGTCATGTAGAAAGTGCGCATGTTTTTTTTCTCAGATGCATTCTTTGTGTGTATTGCGGGAGCCCGGCGCCTGCGAGACTCGGGGTAGGCCGACCCGCAGTACACGCATGCACTGCAGGCCAGGTCTTGCCTACCTAGCAGGCGCTGAAGGACAGAGGGAGAAAAAGGACAGGTTCGTAACGGCGAATGAGGGCGTTGGCTTCCTGAACGGTTTCTCAGGAAGGCAGATGAGCTCTCCGCATATGTGTGGGAAAGTCGCCGCCGTATGTGACTAGTCTGTGTGTCACTGTGTCACTCCAAGGGGGATTGTTTTGTTTGTTGTGTTGTCTTTTTTTCCCCCTCCACACGGCCCCGCCCCGTCCCTCGCCCCGAGTGGCTTTGGCTTTAACAGTCTGGACTGGCCCGACTAGGCCGCCCGCCCGTCCAGGAGGCCTAATTTATTCCATTACAGCCACTGCTCGGCGCGCGCCCACCACGCCCCACCACGCCTCACCACGCCCCTCCTTCCCGAGCCAACCTACCCCGCCCGGCCCACCGTACGCAACGCCACGCGTATTGCGCCCTTTTTTCGCCATGCGAGTAACTAATTTCTCTCTCGTCCTGTTTTCGTTTTATTTCCTCTTCTTTTTTTTTTTGTTTGTTTTCAGCAAAGTATTGCACGTCCGAGTAGGAGCAGGGCAAAGGGGTTTCGATGGTTCTTGCCTTTCATCTACTGTACTTTTTTCTGGTTGAGTATTTTATTTTGTAGCGTTATTGGCGTACGGGTGGTGTGTGGCGTTTCTCTCTCTCTCTCTCTCTCTCTCTCTCTCTCTCTTCTCTCTCTCTCTCTCTCTCTCTCTCTCTCTCTCTCTCTCTCCATGTTTCGGGACGCGGCAGGCGCCTTGACGGGTGTTTCCCTCCGTAATGGAC